GGCCAGAGCCCAGGCAGGACCAGGAGTCTGTGCATCTGAAGTTCCAGAGAATGGAGTGTCTCTTTGCCACGACACCCTGGTTAGACTAACAGACTGTAGTTCTTTTCCTAGTTCTTCAGCCAGCATGATTTTCATTCTCTCACACCCCTGCTCATCTATTATGACCACAGTAGAGTTTGTCAACGTGGGTTTCATGACGGGGCACCCAGAACCGAACATACGTGGCCTGGAATGTTCCGGCTACATCGGGGTAGAACGAGCACTTCCTTCTCCTCACCTGGACCTGATAACCTGCGAATGGCTCTGCCCATCTTGTCTCCTCCCCCTTTTAGCGGCTCCCAGGCAGTGACGGTTCTGACAAATGTGTGGCCCATGAAAACACCTGGGGCTTCTTCAGATAAACTTACACCACACCAAGTAATCCCGTGTACTTCCAAAAGGAAAGCTTTGAACTAACTTTTTAAGTTTATCCTTATTAAACTGTATCTCACAGCCTGACCTAAGCATGGTTTGGTGCCCATCGAGCTGTGGTCAGAGAATGGCCCTGCAGCCCATGTCTTCCCAAGAGCCTCTGCTGCCTCCTGCCTTCTGTCTTCAAACCCCACTGGGCCTGATCCTGAGGATCCGTGATGTATGCCAATTCCCTGAAAACTCAACTCCGTGAGATCTTAATCAGGGTTAGGTGATGAGAAAGTTCTTTTGTCCCAAAGGTTTGGGAAAATGACGGGTTAAGCACAGTCTGGAGAGCTTGCTTTCCTGCGGGACTTTGCAATAATGTGCGGGACAACGGATACTCTGAGGGGTATTTTCCAAGAGATGGATGATAGGATAATAGGATCTTTCAGATTAGAACATACTATAACATTATTGTGCCATCTGATATATTTTCGGACTTACTAGCTGCCTTATGTAGCCAGAAAGAGTGGATACACTTTCTGAAGCAGCTAAGTCCCAGCAAGTGGGAGCTACCCGGCCTCATGAGCCAGGAGCTTAGGAAACAAAGATCTTTCTGACTGGGGGCAGGTGGCGGTCCTGAGACCGGAGAATTGAATCCATTTTCACCGTGTATGGTGAGGGGCTGTGGCTCTCTTCTGCTCTCCCAGTCCCATCCTGACCAAGTCCCTTCCTCCTTCTCTTTTCTTTTCCTTTTGCCCACGTGATATAATTTGTCCTCTCAGCAGTTCAGCCAGGAAAATAAACTTGCCTAACAGTGGCCAGCTCTCCATCAATATTGAGAAAACTTCCCAAGAGAGCCCATGCCTTTGTAAATCAACGCAGGACGTTTATAAGTCAATGCATCCCACTTTAAAAATGCCACGAGTTTAGTTTCTGGTCAGCCACTAAGTGTTTCTGGGTGGTTTCAAAAACAGCATTTCATACTTAGATAAAAAGTCACTAACCCAAGAGCAAATTTCTCTCTTCACGACTGAGGAAACCATTACTTTCCTTTCCCTCTGGGACAGGCACTCCATCACTACAGCTATTCAAATAGAGTGGGAAAAGATTTCTCTTCTGAATTAGAGAGCAAATCTATCCCAGACCGCTAACAGCCACCACCTGGAAGAACATCAATGTGAAGCAGAGCTAAACAAAGTACAATAGACAGAATAGTGGATTTCAATTAACGGGCTGAAATTGCGAGTAACGTTATACGGAGAACGACCTTGCAAAACTCTCAGGCCCTGGAAACTCAACTCGGGGACCTCTGGTAACTCCTATGACAGGGCCCAGGCAAAGCTGAATTCCTCCTTGCTGTGGCTACCAGCATATTTATGTTTGTGTGTTTTTTTTCCATTTTGGTCGGAGAAGCTGGTGTTTAGGGTAAAATACACTTCCAACTTTGTAGACACCAGGGGTCAGGCAGATTGAAACGTAAGGTTGCAAAGGAGAGAGAGGAAAAAAAAACAAAAAAACAAAAACTCACGACTGCGAGAAGATCCGGAAACAGGAGATGCTCTACTAAATGAAAGCGGATGTACAACTCGAGAAGACAGCACTTCAGCTTAGGTTTCAGTTGTTGATGCAACAAAACTTAGCCAAAATACGGGGCAAGAAACGGAGAGAGGGAGCATTCAGTGAGCACCACATGCATGCGGGAACCATGATAGATGCGTCACAGAGGCTAAATGGGGTTGTCCTCACCACCCAGGAGGACCGATGGCAGAATCTCGTTTACAGCCAAAGAGGCTAGGCACAAAAAGACAAGCAACTTGCCGGAGGTCACATGGCTAATAAATGCCACCACTGAGATTTGAATCTACACTCCCCTGACTCGTAAACACAGTTCTGTATTGGACAAAACTTGCTGAGGCTACGTGCCCCATCACAAGAAATGTCACTTTCGTGGAGCTGGTGGTTGCCATGAGATAATTAGAGAAGAAATGCTCAGTCTCTTGGCACCCTCTGGTGAAGTGGGCCTCATGAATCTGGGAGGAGAAGCCGGCCGCAGATATACAGAAATGTGAACGCTCTGCCCCGGGTGGCGATGCGGCCAGGACACCCACTCTTCCAGGGCTCACCTTCCAGATGGGGCAGGTGGGCACACACTCGAGTGAACAAGTACATAAGCCACATCTTCCCAGGTAGCAAGATGTGCTTAAAAGAAAATAAAGCAAATAAAGCAAGGTACGGAGGGCCATACTCCCAGTTTGTTGCCTTAGATAATCGAGGAAGAAAGCTAAGTGAGAATTTCTGGGTTCAGGAGTCAGCGTATGAGCAGACCTCTAGGAATAATTCTATATTCAGTAAAACCTACTTGGGGCTAACCACCTCCTTCCCCAGATCAGCCACTGTTCCGGACTGAATAGGGTCCCTGAGTTTCATGCTGACCAGGAACCTCAGAAAGTGACCTGGTTTGTTTGGATACAGGGTGTTGGAGATGTAACCAGGTAAAGGTCTTGGATGAAATCACCCTGGATTTAGGGGTGACAGGTGTCTTTTAAGAGAATGGAAAAGGCAATTTTGACTGAGACACAGAGAAGGAGGCTATGTGAAGACTCAGGCAGAGGTTGGAGGGACACAGCCAGGAGCCTGGGGATGTCTAGAGCTACCAAAAAAGGAAAGGCAAGGACAGATTCTTCCCTAGAGCCTTCGGACAGGGCATGGCCCAGCTGGCACCTTGATTTTGGACTGCTGAGCTGCAGAGCTGTGACAGGGTGGGGTACCGTTGTGGTAAGCCACCAGTCTGTGACAATTTGTGGCAGCCTCAGGAAACTAAACCAGTCACAGAAATAATGAGCATTTTCATGAAACCACAGCATCGGAGGCATGGCTCCCCACTTCCAGGGCTGTTCTCTAATAACACGAATAACCCCTCTGCTCTGTGGCCAGGGTACGGCTGGGAGAATGACAGGAACACCAGGCGACTAGAGATGGTGAGAGGAGGAGAGCCCTCCCACTTCCCAGGGTACTGGGAGCCTCCAGCAGCTGTAGATGGCACCGGAATAAACAGCAACGTGCTGCTCCTCTGGTCATCCTGGGAGGTGGCCTCCCACTTGGCCAACATGGCGCAGAACCCTGGATTCAGGAAAGGAGCCTGCCTTCCCTTGGTGCCGGTGCTCTCAGCAAGAGTCTGTCCTGTGGTGTTATGGGCATCCGCTGGCTGGCCAGTGCCCCAGACATGTTTTATTTGTCCTAGCAGTCACCTCGCACACCTGCTAGGAATTAAGATCAGAACACTGCCAGAGTAATTCCACAGGACTGACTACCACCACGACGCGGGGTGATGTGAGCAGGCAGGAACCAACAACACCCGGTGGAAGATGGGCTTTCTGACTCTGTGGCCCCAGCACACCCCTCCACACCCTGCTGCACTGGGGAGACAGACAATGTCAATGACATACACGCTCAGAAAGGGGCCTGCCCACAAACTCCCCAAATTCAACCCAGTAAAACATTGCCAGGAAAAAAACAGAATTTGGCCAGTTGGGTTGCAAATAACTGATGCAGTGCTGGGGTCAAGAGAGAGAGGTCTGAGGGGAGCCTGGGCCACTCCATCAGTTCAGGAACCGACTTCGGCTCGGGTCATGATCTCGTGGTTTGTGAGTTCGAGCCCCGCAACGAGCTCGCTGCTGTCGGCCTGTCAGCACAGAGCGCGCTTCAGATCCTCTGTCCCCTTCTCTCTGCCCCTCCCCACCTCGCACTCTCTCAAAAATAAATAAACATTAAAAAAAAGGGGGGGGGGGAGTTTTGAGATTAAAGTACAAGTCCTTTGGAGGCCAGATGGGTAGTTAAATACCCAGCACATGGCTCTGCTTCTGTCCTCAGCACACAGGTAGGGCCACCTGGCCACTGTCAGCGTTATCTGCCCTCCCTCGCTCTGGATCAGGCCTGTTAACAGAGGAGGGGTGGGCACATGAGGAGTCCCAGTGAAGCAGCAGAAGCACCTGTTCACCTGCCGGGTCTCGCACCCAGCACCTGCCCTTGTTGTCACAGCCACACGGCCATCTGAGTCCCAGTCTCGGCCTCAGCCTCCCTGCTTGCCTTGTTATCAAGTCCCGACTGGGCAGAAGCCACATCTTGACCGTAATAGTCAACACAAAGGACGCCAGAGAAATAAGAGCATTGGCCATCAAATCATACTAACACCTAATAAAGAGAAAATTGTTTAAATGTAGTCATATCATTAGATTTTCAACGTGCAGTGGGACAGGCACTGATTTGATGCCAAAGGCAATCAATTCAACTGAAACCAAAATAAAGGAGAGCGAATGCTGTGTGTCTGGGTACACACGCGCACTCACGCGTGTACCCTTGCGGCAAACTTAGTTGTCCCAGGATGGAGAACCCAGTTGTCGATTTTCCAGCTATCTTTATTTTTTTCCCCTTGCTGTTTTTCTTCGGGGCTCCCACGAATGACCGCATCATCCCAGGCCATGAGGGACAGGCACCGCGAGCTAAGGCAGCCGCACCTCCTGTTTAGTGGGCATCTCTGCCCTACTTTCGGAGCTGGGCCCTGCTCTGTGCACAACCCCTCTGGGTGGGCTTCCACATCGACTTACCTTCGCAATCTGCACACACCAGTTGAGCAGGTATTGGGAGCCAATGTTGTCCTTGTGCTCGCGGACATAGTCCAGGAGGCAGCCGAACGGCATGAGCTGTGTGATGAGCTGGACCGTGGACGTCAGGCAGATGCCCAGGAGGCGGCACACGTGGGGATTGTCCACACTGGCCATCACGTAAGCTTCCTGCATGAAGGAGAGGAGAGGAAAGCATTCGAAAGGTCCCCCTATGGTGGCTGACGGGAGAGGCAGGCAGAGCCCTTTCTGGGTAAAAAGAAGCAAAGCGCAAACGTGATTTTGAGTTCCAAAGTGTGTACTTGAGGAGGACGGGGCAGCCCATGAAAGATCCAGTGCAACGGACATTTACATTCATGCGAGGTCTACTGCATACATATTAGGCTGTGAAAGGACCCGTGAGTGGAAGATGGGACCCTGTGAGTGTGAAGCAAGGCTTTCCGTCTACAGAGAGACCCACGCCACGCAGCATTTGGCAAGAGCACACTGAATGAAAACGGAACCCGCTGACATCTCTGTTCTTAAGACCTCTGTCCGAAGGCCAAAGCTGCTGCACCCTGAAATGTTGTCAGGGCTGCAGAAATCCGTGTCTGGGCCCCTACGCCTTGGTAATGCCTTTCTCGCTGAATGGAGACACACGTGCAGAGGTATGATGGTGAAAGTTCCCAGCAGAGGTCACACAAGTCCGCAAGTGGCCCCGGAGAGAGACCTCACTTCTCAACAAGGCCGGGTCTCAGCGGGCAGTGGTCCACCGCACCACTATGGTCCTGGGAGTAGAGCCAGAGAGGCCCTTCTGGGTGGCTTTGAACCAGACAGAGGGCATTACGTTACAGTGACTGCAGACTCTGTTGGCTGCCCGGGATTCATTTGTTTTTTGTTGATGTTGTTGTTGTTTTAAGTTTTTATGTATTTTTGTGTGTGTGTGAGAGAGAGAGAGAGAGAGGGGAACGTGCGCCCACATGCAAGCATGTGGGGGAGGGGCAGAGAGAGACAGGGGGAGAGACTGAATCCCAAGCAGCCTCCACACCATCAGCGCAGAGCCTGATGTGGGGCTCGAACCCACGAACTGTGAGATCATAACCTGAGCTGAAACTGAGAGCCAGACACTTAACCGACTGAGCCACCCAGGCGCCCCTGCCCAGGATTCATTTCTCAAGAGAGGGGGGGTCAATGCTGCCGCCGTGCCTCAGTCTCAAGATGGGAAACTGCTTTTCTGCAAAGTGCCCCCTCCCTCATTTAACTGGCTGTCACGGCAGAGGCCTTTTGGGACACAGAACTGTGACTACAGACTTTATTTTAACCCTTCTGTTCTTGGGTGCAAGAAGCAGGTTTTATTTCCAACTGCGCACACAATGGGACCCTCTCTTCTGTCTCACAGCACCCATAAATTCTGTCCTCCCTTCGAACACCTTTAATTCAGATGTGACAGGGACCACATGGCCTGCAAGAAAGAGCTCAGAAGTTCTTTCATATATTCCCACCACTCCTGAGGGCGGAATGTGGACTTGGCCCCCAGGAGAAGGGGGATGCTTGGGTGAGAACATCACAGGAGCCAGGGGTGACAGAGGAGACCGAGGACACAGGTCGCTGGGCTGGGGGTGGAGGGCAATACACATACTCCCAAACTCAAACCTGATCACATCATGTTTCTTGCCTTCAGCCTTTCTCCGGCCTCACAGTTCCTGGGCAGCCCCAGGCCTTGAACGTCAGCCCCTCCTCCGGAACCCCCCAACCCCCCCTCCTTCCCCTTCTTCCTGCTCTGGGCTCTCTCAACCTCCCTCAGGCCCTCGCCCACGAGAGGGCCTCTGCCTGGAATGTCTTTCCACCTCCTCTTTCCTTCTCTGACTCCTCCTCCGAGGGGCCTTCCCGACTCCCCAGTCTCAAACTCTCTTGGCATCTCGCAGTTTTTCCTTGGGGGAGCAGGCTCTTTACTGCCTGGGAACTTGCTGGAGATACAAATTCCTGGGCCCCACCCAGGCCTACCCTACCGTGTGAGATGCCGGGAGGTGCGCCCAGCAATCTGTTTGAACAAACCCCCCAGGGGATTCTGAGTGCTCAGGAGCACTAATCATAATCTGCTCTTAAATACTTGTGTGATTCTGAAAATGTCCTCCCTCCCCATCAAGCTCTTTGAGGAAAGGACTACATTCTCAGCTCCCGTCATTTGCCTATTTAGCGCCATATTTTGTTGGCAAACGCTGTTCATTTGTCGCCTCAATATCCCCTGCATGTACCTGAGGCCTCAGCAAGTGGGGTTAATGCCTTGGGGCGAGGGTGGACATTTATTCCTCTTTTGTCCTTCCAGTGGTACCAAACATCTGTCTAGGCACGTAAGTGCCTCAAAATGGTCAGGACCGAACTACACTGAAATCATACAAAGGCAGAAATTCAAAGCAAATCGGAGACCGTGCCACTCCCATTAACAACAGCAACAAAAATTCCCTTAGCTTTTAACATTCGCTGCCAACGTCTGTGTGGATGCTTTCCTGCAGGCCTAGGCCCTCTCCTTGCAGGGAGAGCTGGGAGAGCTGGTATTTCTTCTGTATTATAAACATCGTATCACAACATTTAAGGGCAGGGTAGACATTTGACACTTATGCACATTCAAACATCGGTTAATCTTGGAGAAGGGCTGTTTATAAAACTTAGAACTGGAGGGTCCTGCAAGTCCCATTTCTTCTGAGGCCGTTACTTGCCTGAAAGGGAAACTGAGGCCCAGGGAGGCGAATGGAGACGCCTTGTGTCAGAGCTGGGCCCACAGAAGGGTCTCCTCACAAGGGAGGCACCCTCCACGAGCCCCCTCCTCACCCCACACGCTGCACCCCGTGGTCTCCTGTGATGCCTCGTTGAGCGCTCTGGTTAACAGGCTACCAGAAAGCTCGGAGACCTCGTGACACACACAGCACATATATAAATGTTTGCATTCTTTTTCCATTGCCTTCCCTAAACTTAAACTGGGAAGTCTATGGAAAAATTAAGAGGCCACGCGATTGCCAGAAAAGCACAAATCACGTCTCTCCCCCAAGTCTGGGAAACTGTACAACCGTAACTCCAAAGAAGTCCTCTGGCCGTTCCTATTTTCTCAAGATCTGGTTGAGATTTGGAAACATGTTGTATTCATTTTCGACGGGAGAAAAATCTGCAGAGCAGAGCAGTTTGAGCTGCCCATCTGTTGTGGGGCCGCGAGGAGCTGACCTGGACCGGGGGATCGGGGAATGGAGCACGGGGCGTGGGTGTCGGGCCACACAGAGCCTGGAGCCCTGCCAGGTCCCCGATCCTATTAAAATCCGATAGTGCAACAGAACTAGGTCATCGCTTCCGCCCCGCCCCCAAATACAATGGAGACGCTGTTTGGTCATGTGTCCTGTTTGGTGTGCACAGAAGTTGAAGCGAGCTTTGTTCTGAGCTGTTTATCTTGGAATCTCAAAGGTGCACTGTGACTTGCAGAAAGAATGCGTGGTAGTCCACAACAGTGTCTGGACTGGACACTCCAGCCACGCGCACAGACCGGCAGGCAGAGCCCATGTTCAGTTCAGAGACCCCGAGGCTGAGTCACATGGCAGGGTGCCTCTGAGGCTTTGGGACCTTGAAAGTCTATTATTTTTTCCCGCTTGCCAAAATGATGTTTGATGCCTTCCTTTTCACTTTTCTCCTTCAGCTGTGAACTATTTTAGGTTAAGAATTGGGGCAAAGAGGGGTGCCTGGGTGGCTCAGTTGGTTGAGCATCCGACTTCGGCTCAGGTCATGATCTCGCAGTTCGTGAGTTCGAGCCCTGCGTCGGGCTCTGTGCTGACAGCTCAGAGCCTGGAGCCTGCTTCAGATTCTGTGTCCCCCTCTCTCTCTGCTCCACCCCTGCTTGTGCTCTGTCTCTCTCTGTCTTTCAAAAATGAATAAACATTAAAAAAAAAAAAGAATTGGGGAAAAGAGGGCACCTGGGTGGCTCAGTTGGTTGAGTGTCCAACTTCAGCTCACTATCTCACAGTCCATGAGTTTGAGCTCCGTGTTGGGCTCTGTGCTGACAGCTTGGAACCTGGAGCCTGCTTCAGATTCTGTGTCCCCCTCTCTCTCTGCCCCACTCCTGCTTGTGCTCTGTCTCTGTCTTTCAAAAATGAATAAACATTAAAAAAAAATTTTTTTTTTAAAAGAATTGGGGAAAAGAGGGCGCCTGGGTGGCTCAGTCGGTTAAGCATCTGACTCTTGATTTCGGCTCAGGTCATGATCTCACGGTTCATGGGATTGAGCCCCGCATCAGGCCCTGTGCTGACAGCATGGAGCCTGCTTGGGATTCTCTCTCTCCCTCTCTCTCTCTCTCTCTGCCTCTCCCTTGCTGGCATGAACTCTTGCAGGCTCTCGCTCTCTCTCAAAATACATAAACATTAAAAAAAAAAAAAAGAATTGGGGAAAAGGATTCTACTACATTTTAAACTCCTTCAGGAAGGCATACACTGAACCTTAAGAATGAAAGGTAGGTGCCCCTACATTTTTGAAACTGTACCAGTTAACTAAGCTACCAGCAGCCGCTTAAACCAGAGGCTGCCGCGTGTATGTTCTGGATCTCAGTGCCTGATCTCAGTAGGGGAAGAAGGGTAGCCAGTATTGGGTGTGTGGGACCATTTACAAGTGAGTATGAGCACTTCAAAGGACACATTCAGCCCCATCGGGCTGTCCTGTCACAGAACTGACTTGCCCTTAGCTCACTGTTGAAACTGGCCTTATAATCACTTCCCTTACCGGCTCCTCCTTTCCTTCAGGGGCTCTCCATCACCCAGGAATCAACCTGCCCTGATGGGATTGCCTGCGAATTCTGGGCAGACTGGGCTTCAGGAAAAGCAAATGACAAGTTCTCAAGTGTGTCACCCATGAACTGTGACAGCTGTGATGTCTGCTATCAGAAAAGATAAGAGTCCAGTAGAAACAAGAATCAAAGGCAGGAACAAAATAATGGGGGGCAGGGGGGTAGAGAAAAGGAGTTGACACTGTGGTACAGTATACAAGAAAGTTAAGAGAGTAGATCTCAAGAGTTCTTAGGCAGGGAGCAACTTCTTTTTTTGCTTTTCTTATTGTATCTATATGAGGCGAAGACGCTAGTGAACCTTACTGCGGTATCACGTCACAGTATGTGCAAGTCAGGCCACCATGCTTTATGCCAATTATATCTCAGTAACCCTGGAGAAAAAAACGCAAAAAACAAAACAAAACAAACAAAACTTCCCCCAAAATGGAGGGAGAAGAGAGCAGGAGAGAAGCAGAGCAAGAGGTAAACAGAGGCTCATGTTTTGTAAACTTTTCAGGGTTTACTTTATTGTCCACCCCTCCTCTACCCTACCACAGCAGATTTCCTCCGGTTTCAGGGGACCTGGAGGTCCTTTTCAGTGAAAACGACTTCTCCCCCAAAGCACACCTATTGTCTTCAAAATCCCCCTTACTCTGGGTTGTAAACATTGCTGAAATTCACATTTCAGCATTGTTTTGTGAGATTTATTGGAATGCCCTGAATGAGTAAAACACGAATTAAGGAAGCAGACTCTGCAAAAAAGATTTTCTTTTCAACGCAATACGTGAGGGAGCTGGAGGTTCTAAGTCAAGAGCCTTCGCAAACATATTTCTTGCGGTTATGCCAATGAGAGTTGACGGTATATGTTAATTGGACTTCACGTTAATTTGTAAGCCATTGAAAATGAGAGGTAATTTTGCTCAATACGTATATCTTCAACGTGTGCGATTTGCTACTGCACTTTATTTATTAATACATCATCTCTCATTTAGGGTGTGCCAGAGTGGGAATCTCCTATTATAAAGGAGGTATTTGAAGTGTATACAGTGTTATGCCACTGGGAAGCTCATTGTGTCTAAACACATTTTTTAAAAGGCCCATGTTTGCTTTGTTTGGCATATATCCTGTGGGTTCGATGTAAGATGGGGGAGTATTACATTTGCCTCCTGTCCCTCCCCACCGTAGGATAACTGAATTCTCTAGATTTTTGAGGCAGTCGGTTTTCTTTTGCTTTGACTTTGTTCCCCTAACCTCCTGCTAAGCCTCTCCAGCTTCTCTTTCTCTGGCTCTGCCCTGGGACAGGAGCAAAAGTTTGCATCAACCCACAGCAAACAGAGGCCAATGGTGTTCACAAGGACACCCCAACGGGATTGTCCGCTGGATCCTCGGGGGCATCCCTTGAAGCGGGCTTGGCCACATTCCATGGTGGCCCCTCTTTCAGCCAACTGCTGTTTAAAGGGATGCAGTGCCCTTGCCGACTGGTGAGGATCCAGAGAAGATGACAAAAGTTCAGTGGTACCGAAAGTAAAGACGTGCAAATAATCTTGTGGCACATTTCAAAGTCTTGCCCCATAAACTAACGGAGAACACTGGAAATAACATTTAAGCTATTTGGGGGAAAGTACCAAAGAGGGGCAACACTTTACAGAGCTTCTAGAGAGCATCCATACTATAATCCCAGGCACCTTTAAAAAAGCCACTTCAAAGATAACTTGGTAGAGCAAAATGGACACGTGCTTCAGGGGCAGAAATAACGATAGGCTGGAATCCTGTGCCAATCGCATGAACGTGAGCAAGCTTCTTTATGCCTGCAAAGCATACTGAGTGTTAACCCCTGCACCACAGACTCATGGGGAGAGTTCCTCATGTGCAAAGCAACTAGTCCTGAGCCTGGCCCTTGGTGGACAGCCAGCGATTGTGAGTTTCTATCCTTTTGGGAGACATAGCAGAATGGAGGACCCAAGTCTTCTCTATCGGAGAAGCCCTGTGAGGGAATTATACCAACTACAGCCTGAAGGGAAAAAAAGACATGAAAGTGAACATTTAGAATGTGGTGATGGAGAAAGTCTAAAACAGGGCAGGGTGTGGCTTCTAAAATGTGGCTTCTGATGTCCACGCCTGTGGATAACTAGGAAACGAAGGAGAAACTCACATCAAGGATTTCCTTGTTGGCTTTTGGAGATGTGGCTTCTCGTAACTCCTTGATGGCCACGGGAATTTTAACCTTCTCACCTTCTGGGATCCAGAGTCCCTGTGACGAGGAGGGAGAGAAGACATTAACTGGCGACTGTCACACTATGCAATATGCTGACTCACAAGATGCACGGACTTTACCAGTGACACCATCCGAAAGGGTGAGAGCACAGCTCTGTGCTCTGTGCTCCAAGGTCACCAGTGCTAGGAGCCATGATATCTCAGCAGCTCTTTGGCTATATCGTGTTCCATGAATCAGAGTAGTTAGATTACAAAAAACCCTAAGCTTGTGTGAGTTATAAAACCAGTGTGGATCATTTTGTCCAGAATTCTGAGATACTGGCTCTGGGTCTAATGGAAATCAGACTTGATATAACAGGATCCAGGAAAAATAAATTAAGAGCTGTTTTGACCTGGGCATTATTTGGATGCTGTCATGCAGTGAGAGGCAGTCCCCCTTCAGACTCCATCCCTGCCACTCACCCCTTTACAAAGTCAATGCTGTCCTCCACGATAACTTTGTTGTCTGTGTACAGGTCTCACAGGACCACTTATACGTCACCAGTATAAAAGATTCCCTCTCGACAACTTGGGGAAAACATCAGAATTTCCCAAACCCTGAGCTACACATAGAGTAGACAAGCTTGATAGACAGTAGACAGCCCAGGACTTTGAATATGCCCACCAACCTGCATCCCCAGAAGTCTCGGTGCCCTGGTGGCCTCACCTTGTACACTGTGCCAAATGCTCCAGAGCCCAGCACCTTGATCTTTTTGAATTCTGTTTCCTTTAAGATCCTCAAGAGAGCTTGGTTGGGAGCTTCTCCGCTGGGAGTAAGAGGCTCAACAAGCTGTGAGAGACAAGGAAGGAGGGTCGCGGCCTCAATGTTCAGGCCCACATGGGAGGAGGTGTGAGCCAGGCCCAGACACAGCCATGTGTGGATGGGCGTCAGCACCAAGAACCCGCCATGCTCACTCGGAAGGAGGAACGCACATGTTCTCTTTAGGACTTCAAAAAGATATGTTGGGACAGGGACTCCCTGATACAGGTGTCCTCGCACAGAAGAGCTCCATTTCAACAAATGCAATTTCGATTTCTGTTTCCAGCCAATAAGCCGGACTGAGAGAATTCTGGTGAGGGAAGTTTTGATATGGTTGGTCATTTTGGTAGCCTGTCGGGCCTCCTAATGCACACAAGTGCCATTGTGCTATGAGCTGCTACGGGTCCCTCCTCCCAGGGACTCTGGCTTCTGACACACTGCCGGACACAAAGATGCCGGCCAGTAGAGTGAGTCACAAACAGAGCTCAAAATGGAACGGCACTATTGAAGACAATGGGATTTGCCAAAGTAACATCTCAACATGTGCCTTCACAGGAATCACCAGACAACCTGTTTGCAAGCCCTTCTCCTGTGCATGTACCTGAGTGCTGTATGTTAAACAGGACTCCTATGGCATTTGTATCTGTGTCGTGAGACTTATAATAGGAACATTGGCATCTCACTCCAGAGAGGTACCAAAACATCATTAATTGTTTATACCTGGACATTCAGAGATTCTTTCTGGTTTTTCCATCATAAGCAATAAGGCATAATAATACAATTACATATTTAAAATAGTTGGCAACACTTGGCAGGAGAGCCTTCGTTCCTGTCTGGGGTGCTGGGAAGAGGGGCACTGGTGGGCGTGCGGGGCCTGGGCACCTACTCACCTCTCTTTCCTGCAGCAGTCTGCGAAGTGTGCGCTTGCGGACGATGTGGCGTCGGCGCAGAAAGAGGCCCACCCCAAGGGCCACCACCACCACCAAGAGGAGGCCCCCAACAATCCCAGTGGCGATGGATGGGATCTTGGGCCTGGAACAAGAGGGAGACGTGGAAAAGTGAGGTTTGGTGACAGACTCTATTACATTGGCATTGTATGTATTTCCTGCATGTTTTGGTACATTGACATCATTTAACATCATCTCAGAAAATAGATACCATGTGGCTTCTACAGAGAGGAAAGAAAGCAAAGAGTTTCTAGGGTAGTGTTTCCACCTTCTTGAGCATAAGAGGCTTTGCCCCCAGGTTTTTTTTTTTGTTTTTTTTGTTTTTTTTTTGCATTTTTTAAATTGACCTATCATCTGGACATCTCCATACGACTCCTTTTCTTTTCTTTTTTCTTTTCTGTTCTTTTCTTTTCTTTTTCTTTTCTTTTCTTTCCCTTATTTTCCTTTCCTTTTCTTTTTTCCTTCCTTCCTTCCTTCCTTCCTTCCTTCCTTCCTTCCTTCCTTCCTTC